ACTAAAAGAGTCAGTTAGATCAGGGCTACAGGTATTTAGGATGCCCATGGCTAAGATACAAAGACAAGCTGAAGAGCAACTTGTCAGCTGTCAGTATACCTCATAACACCATCCAGTGCTTACCCTTAGAGTGGGTAGAATAGAGATTAACGTGCTTTAGTGGACTCAGAAGTTTTCAATCTGATTGTCCCAATCATCTTCAAGAAACAAGAGCAAGATCTAAAAGGTCAGCCAATCTAACAGTGATCTAATCCCACAATCCCCACTCTTGCTCCATATGTGGCCTCCTTTGTAAATCACTTACAGTGCCACATAAGATTATCGCACAAAATTTCATAACTGAATCAGTTGGTTGTTGTCAGTCTCATGCGTCAAAACCGATGGGAGAGTCTATTATATATATATATATATATATATATATATATATATATATATATATATATATATATATAAAGAGAGGAGTGGGATAGACAGATAACTAGATATGAATTAGTTCCATATATCCCTAAATAACAAAGACACATTTTCAAATTTTTTGATGCGAATAATCATGATTTATGTTGCCATTTTTGAGATGAAGAATGATCATAATCATATTATATGCATTTTTATTTGAATCAAACTCCACATCTTGCTTGTTATACTCTCAATATTTGGCTATTGCAGCCAGTGGACTTCTTCAGGTGGATATCATAATTTGAAATCCTCTCAGAATTTTCTGATTAAGAAAGGAAGAACAGTTCATAATTCCACCCCTTGAGTAAAGTCTTTAGGTTTAAGCCTCCAAAATTACACAACTTGATTATCCAACTGATACATAACCAAGTGGACAAAATCATCAGGTAAAGTGTATGTTGCTTTCTGGCAGTTTTTACTTCTATTCCTGAATTGAGTAGTGCAGAAGTCATATACTTTAGTTCAGAGATGGAAATATGAGACCAAAAGGAACAGGCTAATGAGATTAAGTGATACAAGATAAAGGGTTCATTATTTACATTTGGGCTAGTATCCTCATCTTTGTTGTTTTAATCACAATGTTTCAGCTGTTATGCTTTCGGACTTCTTCACAATGACCCAAATTTTATGATAATGCCAAAGATGAAGACACTAGTCCAAATGTAAATAATCATTGCTCCCCATCCCAGAAATTCAGACAAAAATAAAAGATTTAGTTTATAATTCCAAGACGTATTCTGTTATACTCTATAGTATAACAGACTCTTGAAATAATCTGGAGAATACAATGACTAAAATGTTGTTAGTATAACAAACAAGATGATCATATTAGTTTGAATAAAAAGTGTGAATATAATTATGAATAGTCATTGACTAACATAGTTTGATCAACCAGCAACTAAAAAGTAGTAGAATATGCTGATCTAAATCTTTTTCTTGATATGATTTGAGCTATATAGATATATAAATGTAGGAATCAAATCATTGATCTTTTGGTCTTAAACTAATGTTATGACCAATGAGTTATCACTTGATTTTTTCTTATGTATTTTACATATTTCCACCTTACTAATTTTCAAAATTTCTTATCTCTGTATCAATTCAGTTCCAGTTGTTTATCTCTTCACTTGAGTTAACAAAATGGTTGCCAAGCTATGAAAGCCTCAAACCTACTTTGAGCAAAGTATTGATTCTTATTTGGCTGATATAAATGCACATTCTACTCCTCACTCACACCCAACACTAGCATCTTATATCCAACCTCTGGCTTGAAGCTTATTAATAATATTCACACAACAACCTCTTTGATAAATTTTTATTTCTTTTTTACTTAATTTTCTCTCTTTCTTAGTGACTCATTTTTCTTTGTTTGTTCCTTATTCTTTTTTCCTTTATTTGCTGATTAACTCTTTCTTTTAATTCCATTTTTTGTGAGGAGGGTGTTTTATCAATTTCCATCTTTATGTAATTTTACCTTTCTCCAATTTGTTTCTTGATTTCCAATTCATTTTCTTCTTGCTTTTTCTTTTCTCTAATTTATCTTCTATTTTTCTCTCTTCTCTATCTCAAGATTTCTATTTTCCATTTCTAGTTGTCTCCCTTTATTTTATCTTCTCTTCTTTTTCTTTCTTCATATTAATGCTTACTTCCTCTTCCTACTGACTTTCCTTTACATCTCATTTCCTATTGTTTTGGTATAGGTCTTATTCTGTTTTCTTCCTTTCTCAGTCTTTAACTTCCTTTCTTTCAGGTTTTCTTCTTTTCCTATTCCTTTTATACTTTCTTACATTGGCTCAATTCTTTTGTTATTTCTTTTATTTATTTCATTTATCTAGTTTAGTCTGCCGCTCTCTTTATTTGAAAATTTCAATTACATCTGTCAATACTGACTAACAATTCTTTCATATTATTCCACTTGACTATTTTTTTTACATTTAATCAATTCCCCCTTTTTCTTTTGTAATCATTCTTTGGTATCTTTTCCTTCTAAATTCTTTCTTCTTTCACTCTGTCTTCTTTTTTCCTTATACTAAATTCTTCCTCCTTTCTACCTTTTTCTTATTCATTCAGGTTTCTTTCTTTTTCATCCTTGTCTTCTTCTTCTATTTCTCTTTCTTTCTCCTTTTCTTTATTGCATTTTCTTCTTTACCTCAAACTCATTCTTTTCCTTCTTTACATTGATTTTTTTCTATTTTTCACTCTTTCCAATTCCTTTTCTTTCTCTTTATTTTTCAATTCCTACATTTTTCTCTACACTATTTCTTCTTTTTCTTTCTTTTCATTTCTCTTTGCTTTTTTTTTTTTATCTTTTTTCCTTCATTCCATTCCTACATTTGCAGTCATCTTCTTTTATTATTCCTTCACCTACCAACTTATTGACTATCTTCTTTTTCTTTTATCATCCATGTAACCTTCAGGAAATATGGAACTAAACCCTTTATTTAATTTATGGGGATATATTGTTCTCATTCTGCTGTCCTTGTTTTCATTAAATCTACCTTTGTAGGGTTGAGCTTAAAATTTCTTTGAAGGTTGCCCGCATTGAAAGGCACCTAAAAAAAGGCCAAAGGTCCCAGCAGCCAAAACATTGTGATGAGCATAATATTAGATAAGGATATTAGTCCAACTGTAAATAATTTAAATAAAGATAACTGCTAATCACAGATATTCAGACAAAAACCCCTGCTTCTTTAGACCTTCTTTGACTCCTCCTAAATATTTTCACTTCTGTCGCTGCAAGTGTCATTATATTTTTTCATATTTGTTTCATATTTAATTTCTCTTCATATTCATTTTTTCTTTTATACAGACTATGTATTACTATATAAAAGAATGGACACTGAAGCAAGCAAGCACTACCTATTATGATTTGCCAATAAATAGATTTGTGCATTAATATTATACATATACGTAGACATTCAAATATATTGTGTACACAAATATATAAAATGATGTAAAAATATTCAACATGTGAGCTGAGTAATTTGAAATCTTTTACATATATATATATATATAATAAATATATGTATATTCACCAATATAAACGTACTTAGTCTTTTGCCATACACTGAGTAAATATCTATATAAACTATTACTATTATGCAAGATATAAAAACAATGAAAGTATGTATGTTTACATATACAGGGTGTCCATAAATTTCATGTGCACTTTAATAGATATAGATAGAAATAATTTGTAAAAAAGATTAGAAAGAAGTAAATCTATATATTTTCAGGATTTATTGAAATTTTATTTAAGTTTCCACATGTCCTCCATCATTAGCAATACAAAGGGTAATACAATTTTGCAGTTCATGGAAAATATTTGCCAACTTATTTACAGTAATGCCTGAAATCACATTAGTTATTTTAGCTATACTTAAAACTAGGTACATTAAACTTTATCACAAATACAAATAAAGTTATAAATTTTTAAAGTACACACAAACTTTATGGATACCCTGTATAAATACCTACATTCATATATAGAGCCCCCTCTAGTTGCCTCGGGGTTCTTGATAGGCTCCAGAGGCGGATATGCAATATAATTGGCCCTGTTCTGGCATCTCATCTACAGTCACTCTCTCACAGATGCGCCATCGCCTCTCTCTGTCTTTTTTACAAATACTTTCATGGCAATTGCTCGGAGACTTCATGAGTTCAAGCGCCCTACAAGGCTGGCATCCCACTCTCACCCTTTCACTGTCAAAACTCCTAAATGTAGCCGTCTCTTCTACTCCAATAGCTTCATGTCTCGCACCTCTCACCTGTGGAACTCCCTTCCCTATTCCAGTTTCCCTGATAGCTATACTCTCCAGCTATTCAAATGTAATGTCAATCGACATCTCCAGTTGCATTGATCTATACACTATCCTTCTCCTCATCTTTTCCTCTATCACTTCTATTTGATCTTGCTCCAAATTTTCTGTAACCCCTTGCGTCCTAGTGGCTTCTCGCCTTGCTTGGGATGAAACGCTTAAAAAAAAAAAAAAAAGTAGCGAACATTTTCGCAGTGATAAAACCAAATGTCAAAAAAAAGAAAAGAGTAGTTTTTACAGGCATTTGATATTGAAAGAGCAAGTTTGGATACCTAATGACAATCTCTGGACATAAATCATAAATATTTTTGTTCAATCAAAACACTGTTGTAGAGAATAATCTAGAACCCTGTTTGCAGCCCATCTAAGTTTCTTTTAATCTTTAAATGCAGAGACATTTTGCTGATGGGATCAGTGGTGATATCACCAGAAATGATAATGGTCTCTGAGATCAACAGACTTCCTCACACCATATACCCTCTTGTTACTTGCAGAAACTTCTCTACCCAGAAATGACAAGCAGTTCTGTAGTGACAATCGTCTTTGTGGTTAGCAGACTTCTTTATACCATATACATTCTCTGTTGGCACAAACATATCAACTGAATAATGACAATAGATCTTGAAGTTACTCCCTCACACCATACATATTCTCATTACTAACATGTACATCAACACAATTTATCAATTATTCATACACAGAAATACAGTGGCAAACCTACAACTCACCAATAACTAACATCAGTATGGCGACAAACCACCTTTAGTGTAACTCTTCTAAACTATCATAGCCTTATATTTCCTTTGTTTTCGACATTTAATCCTAAATACCATTCTGACCTCATCCTGATGATCTCACTCTGATCTTCATTGTAGGGTTTATCTGATAATGCTACTACCAACAACTAATAACACACAACTTTTATACACTTATGTTACTAAAATATAGGAGAAATTAAATGGTGTAAATGAACACTCTTAATAATAAATAACTTAAGATTAAAAAACCTATGTAATTAAATGAGTGCGTACTAAACAGTAACACAATCCACTTTCTATAGTCTTACGAAATTATTAAATATCAGATTTTTCAGAAGGAATCCTTTCTTGGTTGTGCTCAGAAATATTCAGCATTTACATACACACGCAAACATAAATGGGGCATCTATTTCAAAGAAGTGTCCACTAAAATAACATTGGAAGTAATAAAAATGTCAGATTAAAAATAAACCATTAATTCTTTAGAAATTGCTTTGTATACATTTGGACACAAGCTGAGTAGATATGGTGATTTTTAAAGCATATCTGCGATGTTGTACAAATCCAAATTTAGATATGGGCTCTCAAGAAGAATCTGAGTGAAGGGAAGGTGCTTTCCTTAAAGAGGGTAAAAAGAGCTTTGCTTACTGTGAAGTCATTTATATCTGAGTAGTAAAGCTTCCCAGATCAAATTTTATTTTCCCCTACAAAGTGGGATGCAGGATCAATCTCTGTCAGAGGACACATTTTCATTAAGATTTCTTGAATATGCACACTGTTTTATAAGTAGAAATGGGGGCACCTCGACGTGGTGTAATATCTCGGCGAAACCCACTTTGGCGGATTTCGCCCAGTTTTGACAAAATATGGATCGTTTCTTGGCCTTTGGCTGAGATTTGATCACGGTTACGACTAGTTTGGACTGGCTTTGGCCTGGACCAGCTAAGACAAGCCATGACCAGCGTTGACTAAGCTCTGACCAGCTTGGACATGCTATGACCAGTTTTGGATCAGTGGCCCTTGAGTGGAAACGCTCAGGTCTCCCACGTTAAACCGACCCTGTGGGAGTCAAGTAAATATCCTCGACGTGGTGTAATGGTTATAAAGCTTGTCTTGCTAGATCAAATACGACTGAGTAGTGAGTTCGATCCTCACTGGGTGCCCCATACATACGGCCTTGTGCCACATCTATGCTGGGCTTAGAAAATCCATATAAGTAGAAATGGGTGTCTGTTTCAAATATGAAGTGTCCACTATCATAACTTCTGAAATAACATACATATATATATATATATATATATATATATATATATATATATATACACACATACATATATATATATATATATATATATATATATATATATATATATATATATATATATATGCACACACACATATATACATATTAATATTATGGGCATAGTGACATGTGGTTAGGACATTCACTCTCTGTCCATGGGACCTGGGTTCTAATCTCATCATAGTCAATTTATCAGGTAGGTGACTTATTGATTTTATCAGCCTGAGAAACTGATCTCAGTGGGCAGAACGTTTTGAAAGTGTCTGAAGACCACACCACAGGATGACCTAAACCTTGTGAGTGAAATTGTGTAGATGAAATGATTTGGAGGCCATTGATGGTTGTGCTAGCATTAAGTCACAGGTCACAATGTTACTCAGTAGTACTGTCTCTCATGTCTCCAATGCCATATGACAACCAGATAATAAATAATACTCTTTTGTTATTTCCTTGTCTTGCTGTTTCTCATTTTTATGAGTATTTTTTATATATAAATGTTAGGGAGTTTATAATAATTCACTTAGTTATAACTCCCCTAAAACCCTTTTAAAGTCAAGGGTCAGTCATAATTTATTCTCCTTATCTGATATTCTTTCTTCTTTCTTCGCATTCTCCTACCTTCTTTTTCATCCATAGGACACTTGCCATTTCAACTGTAATCCTCTACCTTAAACAGCTCATGAGCCTTGAATTGGGTGGTAGCTAATAAAAAAAAAGTTTATTCATTGTAAATCTAAAGGAGATAATGCAAGTAAAGTTTAAGTGATTTATGTTAAAAGGATTGCTTCATTATGACCCTATGCTTCGCAATGGACAAGAATTTTGCTGGAAAATAGAACATACAGAATTTGCAATTTTGAATAGATTAAATAAGCCAGATGAATGTGTTTGGTTATGTTACTGTTTGTTTAAAAATAAAATGAGCAAAAATTATCACAAAAGGAAGAATATTCTATGATAAAATGCAAAACTCTTTTCTTAGATTATGCAGCTTTACTTTGATTAGGCAACTGCTTTATCAGACATCTTTTTTTCCCCAAACAGCAACAATCTTCTTACAACTGTCCAAAGAATAATCATCTCATGTTCTTTCTGGAACCAAGATGTGAACACAATATAACCCTGCTTGTTTCTATTTAGGTTATGATAAAATAACTAAATCCTTCTATAATAAAATTAAGGTTTTTCCTCTGGTAATATCAGCAGACTTCTGCAAATATTGTAATTCATAGAAAAACAACATATGTATGTTATTGTGTTCCTTCTAAATGGCAATATATGACTTTAACTACTAAAAACAGTAACAATAATTCAGAACAGAAAACAACACAAGGACAATTCATGTAATAATACTGGGAATTCAGGCATAAGAGAAATAGACACACTGATAAAAAGATGTTAGATTGAAGAAACACTGAATTTAATGATTTTTCAACATTTTATTAATAGTATTTTTTTTCTGAAGTTCAAAAATTAGACATTAACGTAAGATGTATTGACCAGAAAGTACTTTTGATATAATTGTCTGTTTCTCCCTGAAAAAAAAAAAGGATTTAAGAACAACAAACCAAGATTTATTTGCTAGCATCTTTAGAACTGTATCTTTTATTTTTAGCGCTCTTGTTTCTTATTCATTTTCTATATCCTTCATCTCCTGTTTTTCTCTTTTTCCTTTTATTACTTTTTTTTTCATCTTTCTTGCTTTTGCCATTTGTTATTTTACTTTTGTTCATTCTTTCTTCTTATTCAGTTATCATGTTTTTTTTTTTCCTTACCTTTTTATTTCTTTTTCTCTTGACTCACTTTCTCCTTGTCATTCCTTTTTTTTTTCTTTCTCTTTCTCTATCATATTTTTTTTTCTGTTTTCTCTTGCTTTCTTTATTCTTTTCCTTCTTTTATCGTTATTCAAATGAATGCAACCAAACTGACAAATAGGCAGCCACCTCAAGGTGCACCTTTTGTATTCCAGCACAAACCAACAGATAAAAGTGCTGACTAACCACGACACTTAGTATGTAGGTCTATACTTCTTGGTATAAACAGAATGTTAATTGATAGCAACTATTTTCTGAGGTGATACAAAAACTAAACAAAACATAGGAACAGGATCAAAGCCAAAAAAACTGTTCTGTAGATAGAATTACTATTTTTCATTTGTATGTATTTTATGCTTTTGTCATATATATATATATATATATATGTGTGTGTGTGTGTGTGTAGAGAGATGTCTACAGAAAGATAGGTATAGACATTGGGTAGGAAAGAAATACAACAAACACTGTTTATAATTCTATATTGAAAATACTAAAGGTACACTTAGCTTTATAGTTTAATTCTAAAATTTTTGATGTCCAAGATTTTTTGACGGATAATGAAGCTGATTTCATTCTGCTTTTTATTGCTTCATTTTTTCTCAACTTATCTCACGTTGTATGAGAATTTGTCTTATTAGGAAAGCTGATATGTTATATAATCCTTAATGTAAGTTTATGATAGAAGATTTTGAAGCTGGTGCAATTTCAATACAGTTTCACCTTAATTACTTTCCTCCTTTAACTAAAACTGCATTTTAAGTCAAAATTATACTCAGACCTGTTATAATTAACAATTAATATTTTGTAAAACATCACTTCTGCTGTCATATAATCTTTTATTTAAACTCATATATGTTTCACTAATGTTTTTTCATATAACGTAATGTCATATAAACCTTTTATTTATAACATAATGTCATATAAACCTTTTATTTAAACTCATATAATCTTTTATTTAAACTCATATATGCTTCATTGTATTTCTTGGAACATTTTTTGCAGTATATTTTGTAAATTTCTGCATCAGGTTTAACATTCTTATTATTTTGTGTTAAAGAAATCTCTTACTGTTTTTTGATGTAATTGAAACCAATTTTATATGAAATTTATAAAAAAGTTTAGATAAATTCTTGTCAGCATTTTTTGGGGCCTCATAGTAGCCTCTGCTATTTTTTCAGCACTGTTTTATGGTCATCAGTCATTTCTAAAATTATTTTTAAAATAACGTTACATTGTCAGTCATCAACTAATAATATACATTGTGTGTCTGCATGACTGGTGCAGTGCGTACTATGCAGGAAGCCCTGACGAGATTGAAGCTTCAAAAAGGCTAGTTTCAGTAGAGTTTGTTTTGCCTTTTGTACTTTTTACTACTATCTAAGTTATATTGTCAATCATCATCTATAATAATTGACAGGTCTGGTGCTTAATACCCCAAACCTCTTAACCATGGGGGGTTCCATCCTACTCGGTGGGTGGGGCAGAAGTTCTAATTTCAGCAGTGGTTATTTTTTTTAAATTGTAATTTTCTTTCTGAACAGTTCTTTTAAATCAATTATGAGGGTCATATATCTCGGCAAAATCATTTTAGATTCCGAGATCATCCACTATGGAGGTTCTCTGAAATTCTTTTTTTTTTACTAATAATAATACTAACCAGAAGTCCATGTCTAGTAATTAAAATAAAATTTCTAGGTCCTATTTTTTACATTTCTAGAAAGATAAAACCGAGAAAATGATCACTTAAAAATTAAAAATGTTTAAAGATTTCAACACATGAAAAATTTTCCCGAAAACTGAAGTACTGTTTTAAAACAAATTTTTAAGACAATCCAATTTGTGTTGTGTTGGAATCTTTGTAAAACTTTTTTTTGCAGCAGAGATGTGTCAGTTTAAGGAAAAGTAAAAATTTGTGACTTAAATATTTTTTTGAGTAAAATTTAGTCATGCAAATATTGGTGGTTATTACAAAAAGAATAACATTTTCTCAGATTTTTTAAAATAAAAAAACCTATTCATTATGAAAGTAAATAATTAATGAATATGTATTCAAATTTTCATTTAAATTGGGTAATTCCCTGAGTTTTGATAATTTAAAAAAGTGCTGCCCTTCCCTCCCCAATTTTCCTTTAAGGGCTTGTGGTCCCCAGGTTGGAAAACTTTTAAATTGACATGTAGTAGACAGGTGGGAGAATATCAAAGTTTTTCAGGGGTGGCCCACGACACAAGCACCAGCACTGATTGAGTTGGTAGGTAGTATTATGTGTCTATTTTTATCAAGATTATTTGTGTTATTTTATTTTTATTTACATGAATTTTGTTATCTTTACTTCTTGCATTATATATGAAAAAAAAAAAAAGATATTGCAGGAGGTTAAAAGTATTGTCAATGTACTTTTCTTCATCTAAGTACTGACGGACACGAATTCTAAGTTTCTTGAATAGAACCCTGTAATTATTTTTCAGGTATGCATATAGATAGATAGGTAAATAGATAGTGTATCTGTATTAGGGCTTGTTATACACTTGTAGAATATATAACTTTTATGTACTACTCTTTAGTCGATACAAGGACAAGACCCACTTAAGGTAGACAATAAATGAGGCTGTTCTAAGTGCATACAGGGAGGAGGCAAAATGTGCATATTATGAGGATATGAAGGATAGATAATAGTTTATCCTTGACTTGAAGAAGTGAAGATTGTAGTGATCAACAAAGTATCCTTGGGAGTCTTTCATAATGAAACAGTTTGGGGAAGAAGCTGTTGTTCCTTACTAATGCAACATGTAGGATATGACAAGTTGACCATGTGTTGCATAAATGGCCTGGTGAGTATTAGCCGACTTGGGGAAACAAGGCTAGTAGCTCAGCCAAACATCTGCCAAGAAAATAGTGACAGAGTATATTGTGGAGGATAGTGACTTTTTATGTGAGAAAAAAGGTTGTAGAATGGAAAATCAGTTCATTATTCAGATCATCCAGCAATAATCCATTTTTGATTTGATCATTATCTTAGAATTATAACATGACCGGAGTCACATACTTTCTGGAATAGTACTGGGAACTAACCATTTTGTCCAGTGTCTTTAGTGATGGATCATATATATGACTTAAGGTCTAAGGTGAACCTAATTCCCAACAGCTCTTCCAGGTAAGGAGCTTCATTGATACACCAATCATTCATCATGACTGTAGAAATTTCAGAGTCTTCTCAGTGATGATCAAACAATAGTAGCTTGATTTTGGAAGCATTGAATATTAAAAGACAGTTCCTCCTCTATTGGCCTATATAAGCAAGATCAGACAAGAGATCAACTGCTCATTTCTGATCATTTAGATTTTTGGTGGTACTTCCATAAACCACGGTATCATCTGTATATATATTTATTAGTGATCTGAGAATGTTCTTAGATAGATTATTAATATAGATCAGAGGAGAAACCCTATAGTGTAGTCACTCATGGGGGTGACAGGTTATTCCATTACATCAAATATTTTGGAAGGTTTGATTGCTTTTTTATAAATATAAATTGTATCCTTCTTGTACCACAGATTTCATAGCTCGTGGTACACTGGAACAGAGATAGTGAGAGTGAGACTTCTCCTACTTTTTAAGTAGGTAGTCGCCTGATTAGTTCTTTGGTTGTTAGAGGAGTAGATCTGACTGCCACACTTTCTAGTGAAAGGGTAGAAAGAACTGACATCAAAACCTGCTTTTCCTGGGTTTATATTGAGTTTTCTAAGTAGTCAGGGAGCATGGTGAGTACTTGTAGGATTGTCTTTTGCTCTGGTACAGGATCTTTGATCTTTTGTTTTGCTTATTGAAGTATCTGCTTTCAGAAACAAAGTTAACTGATTGATCTGTCCTTAAGAATGTTGGTGTTAATGCTAACAGGATGTTAAGGAGATAATAAATAGATGATACTTTTCAGGAGATTTAAAATATATCTTTAGTTTATTTATTAAACTTAGTGTGCTACTACAGATTCATTTTCATACACAGAAAGAATATTTCTTGCTGTTTTCATTGCTAAAGAACCCTTTCTATATTCATAAAACTTATTGCATCCAATATAAGCCTGATCTAAACTCATTTTACTAGGGTTCGTTAAACTGTTACTCATTTCACCTACAGTGATATTAAAAAAACTCCAAAAACATTAAAATATAAAAAGTAATAATCATTTTACCATTAGTATTGAAAAGGTTGCTTAAAGATAATCATGTTCAAAATGCAACAGAACTTTCTTTCTAATCTAAAACAATCGAAACAGATATTAAATATGTAAAATATATTTTAAGGTATGTAAGGAAGTTAGATAAGCTGAACATTTTTTTTTATATATATTTTTGTTGTTATAAACTTTTAAGAATAACCATTGTCCCCAGAAATACCAGGAAAGAAGCCATTCTCTCTTAAGTACTCTGACACCCTAATAGGTCTTGGGGTAATGTTCTTTTGAAACTTTAATTCAAAAGAAGTCATTATTTTTTTCTTATTCTTTTATGCACTTTAACAGCTGAAAATCTAGAGGCAAAAAATTATCAGTATGATTCAAATACACTTTTCCTTATTTTTTCAACAAAGATATAAACATAGATATAAACACTACATTATGATTTATGGGGATCAAAATAAAAGTCCCAAAGGAGAATTTACAGCCATAATTTTTAATGCTTTTTATTTGATAAATACATTTCTTACTGCTAATAATGTCTATGTTTCTTGTGTCGATTCAAAAGAGAGAAAAAAACCTAATCAGGCATGTGAAATATCTCAGTCATGAATGCCTACCTTTCACATATTTTCAAGTTACACTTGAACAAGTTGAAGTGCCATTCTCTCGTTCTCAAATTCATATCACAGACTGGAAACTTTATAAAACATTAAGTATTTGAAAAGCCTCTTATAATGCTCATAAAAACTTGCTTGGTATGACCTGATTTTAACACATGTCTTAGTATATCATAAAACCATCAAATGCTGAGCAGAGTTGAGATTAGAATAAAACATACCACAAATGTTGCAACACTAACATTTTTTCTAATAATAATATCTATACCTTGAAACAAGAATATTTTGAA